ACTCAGTCTACACAATCACAGTTCACAAGAGTCAGCTTATTGGTGCTGTGGCCTGAGTGCTCCCCCTGAAATTCGTGGGTTGAAAACGAACCTGTAGAGTGGTCTCAGGAGAGAAGGGGTGCTCAGGGGATCAGTAGATGAAGGCAGGGTCCTCGGGACGGGATAGGGGCCGCAGAGAGCTGCTCTGGGCCCTTGTACCCAGTGAGGGGGCACATGAGCTGCCCTCCAGCCCCCGCCAGCTGCCGGATCATCGGTGCTCCTTCCTGGATCTGCAGTGTGAACGCAAGCCAGCCCTGGTGGCGTCATGGAATAGCTACCCAGGGAGCTCAGGACAGAGACTGTGGTTACTGCTGTCCGTGTACACAGCAGGTGCACAGCACGTGGTCTTTATTTCTTGGAAAGTGAAAGGGTGAGTGAACAGGATGAGCATCGTCCTGTGGGCCCGACCCCACTTCCCACTGTCTGCAGGGACACAGTGATCAGGGAATCATTTCCACAGGCATGGAGATGGGATCAGCAAACACCAGAATGCATAACTGAATAAGATATCACAGTGAAAGCCCCGTCATGAGTCCCCCTCAAAATACTCTCCAACACATCGATCCCATCATTCCGGCCTCTTGCTGGAGCACTTCTGGGAGCCTTTTTTCTGGAATTTACCAGGAATCATGGAAACTGTGGTGAACCTGCTGCTGAGTGCCATCAGGAGAAAAGCCAACTCCTAAAAACACTGTGGTGTGACCTCATCCACGATATTCACCAGACCTAGGACCCGCGACTTCCAATTCTTCCTCAGAGTCAAAATGACCAGGAAAGGTCAATCTTTCAGTCATTTGGGACATGGAGGGTGCCACATCGTGCAACTAATGGCACTTAGGAGGAGGACCACAGCACCAGCACCGTGAGAGAGCAGTCCCTGGAAACCAGGCAGGAGCCACGCCTTGCCGACTGACTGCCTTTAACTAAGGTGTCTGCCCGGGCACTCCCATGGCCTGGACCCTTATGCTGTGGAATGTTTACTCTGGACTCCTGAGGTGATTTTTTCTAAGAAGTTAAGATAAGCAAGGCTGGTTTGGGGTGATGGCAGGAAGTTCTTTCCCATAAAACCTCTTTGGCTCACTGGTCTTGCTCTGAGCCACATGCAGACCAATTTCCTGGCCTCACCCAGGGCACTTTAAGAGCACAGCGTGAGTTCAAAGATCCAGAGGAACCCCGGGGTGAGTGTGCATGAGCCTCATGCTGGAAGCTGCCCTCTGTCCCCCCCCAGAACTCAGAGGACTCAGAGTCCAGCCCTATCTGCTGTGCTGTAACGCTTGGTCCTCCACACTCACCGCCTGCTGCTGTAGCCGCGGCGTCACTGGACATGGAAAGCTGAGGGCAGAGAAAGACACAGAGGTCTGGAGTGGCTGCTGACTGCCTGGGAGAGGAGGACGCTGGCTTCTGAAGGGCGCCTCTCCATCCCCTGCCGGCCTCTGCCTCTGCCTTCCAGGGAAGGTTCATTCTCTCCATCTTTATTGGAGTCCCCTGTGCTGCCTTCCTAACCCACATCCGAGTCCAGTCCCTGCCTACCGTGCACTCATGTGCCCTGCCTGGACCTGCAGTTCACTGAACGCACTTTGCACCAGACTATCTTTGAAAACTGAAAGCCAACCACTTTGTAAGCCACAGTTTTGCGTGCATATACACCCCCAGGACAAAACTTTCACGCAGGTTTTTGGGGCAGAGAGGAAGGAGGTGGGATTTTGCAACCAAGGTACCAGCTGAGGCTCACTATAAAAACCCTTGTGAACAGCAGCCACCAGGCTGTCAGAGTGACACCTCTGTATCACTTCCCAAATACAGGCAATGTGAGACTTCATTTTACTTTTTAAAATTTACTGCCAAAGTGTGGTTTCTGACCAACTCCGCATCACCTAGGGTAGAAACAAGGGCAGAGGCTCCGAATCCCTTGGTATTAGAATCTCAGTAAGTCGGAGCCATCACGGAGCAAAATGAAGACAGGAAGGGACAACAGATGGAGAGAAGGAGGCAGAGGAGGAAACATAGAAGGAGGCCGTGGAGCTTATTTCATGAGCACAAAATCATTCCAGAGATATCACAAGCAGCAAATTAAACAATCCTTCAGCAAGATTTTGACAAGGAAATTTCATTAGGGATTTAAATCTCTATGGAAGCTCAAGTTGCTGTATTAAGAAATGAAAATTGTGCAAATGTTGTTCCTCAGAATGACGTTTGCTGCAGGTCATTGAGTTTCAGTCAATGAAATTTAGAATGATCAATGTCCTGTTGGAAATAACCGGAGGATGAAGGTTCCAGGGGCTCAAGGAGAGAGCCTGCCGTGGGGCGCTCAGGCTGAGCGTCCTTTGGAAAGGAAGTGAGGCTTTGGGCTTAAGTGGCTGAGTGACCTTGAGCAAGTTGATTTAGCATCTCTGAGGTCTAATTTCTCCACTATAAAATGTGGGCAATTCAGAGCCTACTCCCTGCTGGCTTGTATGAAGGTTTAAGGTAGGCACCCAGGTGAGGCCGCTGCCACAGCCCCTGGCACGTTAACACAGGAATCCATGCCAGCAATTTTTACAAAGGGAACTGAGGGATGTGGGCTAGCGTCTACCTGCCTTTGACTCCCTTTCCATCTCTATGATGGATGCCTATGCTTCCACTGATTACCCTGCTCAGGTGAAAAGCTTGAGGCTTGGGAGCTAATAAATCCACCAAGTTCACAAAGGGGTAAACGTGATACCAAATGCATCCCACGCTAATCTCCGTCACTAGCATGTGAGGTCCTCAGAGCCCAGGTCCTGCTTGCACACCTTTGTATTAACAGAATCTTAATGATAAATGGCCTTTGGAAGCTGCTCAGAAAACACTGGAGGAATGTATGGATGATTACGTAAATAAACAAAGCCCACACGGGTGCATGCAGTGCTGCCCTGTTTTCACCTGTGTCTGAGAGCCTGGGCTCTCAGTGGTTACCCTACTTTTACATTTCAAGGAGTCCTCGCCTTTTCTCTCACACAGTAAGTGAGTTATAGGCCATTTTACAGAAACAGGGATAAAAGGGAAATAATTTCATATCATTTCACACCCTAAAAACTCCGAGCTCCCTCCAGGCACTTTAGAATATTTCATGGCTAAAGAATGTTCCCTTCATGACTTACATAAAAATAAGTTTCTATTTTGTGGTCCCACTTAGTGGAAACCTTTCATACCATGTCCTTGGAGAGGTAATTCCATCCGCAGACATGATGTGCTGTGTGATGTTCGCTTACTGATAACTCTGTTGTCAAGTTGGAATTAGTCTGTGTTTTCTTCACTGTAAATGCTGCCGAGCTAACAAACTATGCATGTAACATGTAGGCCTGCAGGGACAGGAACTCAGGACCAGTTTTCTCTGAAAACACAGGTCCTCAGGGTAGATCCCATCGTCAGTTTCCCAAACGATGGGCTATGCATGGTCTCCGGTTGGAGGCTAACTTTGATTACATCACTTAAAGGTAGAGATGTTTTGTCTCCCCACTTTGTATGATAGGCAAGGCCTTGCCTAGTTTCTGCACTTGACAGACATTTCACAGTTGTAGGTGAAATAACGGGGAGAAAAATAAATGGAAAAGCAAAAAGGGACGCTGGAAAGAGGAGAAAAAGAAAAGGAAAGAAAAGAGTGAATAAAACCCTACGTGTAGCCGGGGAAAGTTTTTTAAAAACAAAGAAGACATAAGGAGTAAAGAAATCACCAAGTCCATTCTTTTATACAAACTTCCTGTATCTAAAATATGTGGCCCACCACAACCATGAACAGCCTTTTAGACACCAGCTTAACAAGCAGTCAAAACCACGAGATGACAACACACCCGGCACCATCCTGGCTGTCGCTGATGCCCCGGGGGCAGGCGGGCAGAGTGCCCAAGGTCCCATTACTCCGTAGATGTTCAGCAACCTTCACTTTCCTGGGAGGGCTAAATTCACAGTTAGTGGCTGCCTGGTAGTGTCGTGCCAAGAGAAAACCCACTTAAACAAAAACTCTGCTTGGTCAAGGAACTTTGCATTAACCTTAGGAAACGGGCCTAGAAATTCTAGGGAAAACAGAAAGTACACATTTTGGAAAGATGTTGAAAGACAGCCACATTCACACTAATCTGCGGAGGACACTGCCTGTGGTCAACACAAAATATTTGGCTAACGTCTGTGCTGTGTGTGCTAAATATTCTGAAGACCATAATGCTGCTGTTAGGGTTTGGAAATGCCTCTCAGGCTTCTTACCAAACTAAACAACTGGCCCAATAAAAACACACCCTTTACACCCTTTTTTTTTTAGCAACAATTCAACTGCAAGAGCCACCAAATGAAAACTAGTTACAGATAAATGGAAAATTACCCCTTTGACAAGAGCTGGGCACTTTACTATAGGAAGTTACTTAGGAATCCATACATGAAGAGAAGCTTATACATGCTTTCTAGGGGCAGATGCTGCTCATCTGTGAATGGAGAAAAAGGAATTCGTTGTTAACTACTGTAAATATCCACATGCAACTAAGAGCTGCTCAGAATGGGGATTTCAAAGTTTGCTTGAAAACTTCTTATGCAGTTGTATTTACATAGTTTCTTATTTCTCTAAATGTTAATAGGTTTCCTATTAGCAAAATTATCAGAATGTGAGAAGCAGTCTGAGATCACAAGTTTTGTTCCATTTGTTTGGGTAAATCGTGAGCTCTGTTAGTTTTTCTGAGCCTTACTTTTTGTAATGGAGTGATCTGGGGACAGCCTGAGAGCCCAGAAGCAGGATCTGCAGGGCTTTGGTTCCCACAAAGGGTCTGGGGAGGCTTTCAATCAGTGCAGGAGACCATGTCGCAGGCAGCTGCGAGCCACGCCTTGGATATTAACACTGGTCACCACCTCTGCCCTCGGCAGTTTTCAGAGACTCAGGTTAGCAACCAAGCACCGTTCCAGCTCCAGGAAGTGCTGCCTAGATAATGCATTATAGAAAAGAAAAATGCTTGACCTACTTGGATCCGATAAGATGGAGTCAGTTTTCGGCAGGAATTGGTCGCAACGGACTCCTTGGTAGCCTTCTTTGCACCTGAGAAGAAAGGACAAATGACATACATGCACATGTGGCTGTGAAAGATTCATCCCAAGATCGCACCAAAGAAAATAATCAGCAATTACACACATGCGAGAACGGCATATTCGCGTTCCTGTATTATCTGATTCAGTCTGCTTCTGACACCAACGGGCAGATTCTAGATTTTATTTCTGTTAGAGAGAGAGAGAGAGAGAGAGAGAGAGAGAGAGAGAGAGAGAGAGACAGAGAGAGAGACAGAGAGAGAGACAGAGAGAGAGACAGAGATAGAGAGAGCCAGAGCCAGAGCCAGAGCCAGAGACAGAGAGAGACGGAGGCAGAGAGACAGAGACAGAGACAGAGAGAGGGAGGCAGAGAGACAGACAGAGAGGAGCAGAGGAACCTTTATAGTTATATACGTAGGACCTAAGGAATAAACTGAACCGCATTTTAGGGTGCTCTCTGAGAAATCTGAATACTGCTTTTACTCATATTATGTTCTAGAAGCAGGTGCACTTTATGCCCCACGTAGTCTCTGAAATGTCTGTAGAAACATTCTATTGCAAAGGGCCATTTTTCTTATAAGAGTCGTTTTCCAGCACAGCATAGTAGTTGTGGATGTTAGCTATTGCTCCCTTGGTTTTCGTATTTTACTAGTGTGCTCGTTTGCTAATTTGGGTTTGGAATTTATTTCTCAGCTCTTTTCCTATCGGTGTCACCTAAGCCCTGGGGCAGAAGTCTCAGCACGTCCCGACCCTGGGGTCCACGCGGTCTACAGGCAGTGAAGGCTCTCTGAGAGCCGGCTCTGCTCCAGGCCTGGACAAGGCCAGCAGATTCGGGGCACGGAGGCCGCCCAAGGTAGGGCTATGGGCCCGTCCGTTCCCCAGGGCCAACCCCTCAGCTGGAGGTTCAAGCACAAGCACGGACACAGCCATACAGCCGAGTGCCCAGCACGACCGAGTTCTCCCCTAGGATGGGGGCATTTATGGGTGTCCTGGAGGGTTCCCCTGTCATCCCTGGGTTAAGAAGGAAGTAACTATTGCTACTTGTGGGGTGAGCAGGTCCTACTCTCAGAGGGGGAGACAGTACCACTGGGATAAAAATCAGATTTAACAAACAATCCTCTAGATGAAATTAATCTATCAAAGTGATCAAAAAACCCAAAAGACTTAGCGACCATGCCTTGGAATACACTTTGTCTTCTCCATGTAATAAACGACCAGGCAGGGTTTACTGCGGGTGGAGCAGCGGCACTGAATGGTGCCGAGGTAATTTTTCCACCTTTTATTGGGAGCCAAATTGGAATTCAGGCAATCAGACAGGTTCTCTTCAATGTCCTTTTAAGCCTGCCCTCTACTTGGCAGCTTTCCTTGGAGGCTGAGAACACCGATATGCCCGGAAACTCCCAGACTATTGAAATAGAACTGGCTTATTAGACACAACAAATGTATTTGTTGCACTTGAAACAAAGCAGTCATATTGCTAGCTTTTTGTTAATGCTGAAGGTTCAAAAATGGTCCTGACCTGGTTTGGAAAAAATAAAGTTCTGCTTTCTGAAAGCTACCCCGATTGCACTGTGGCCTTATTTGAATTACCTGGACCCCAACGTTAATCTTCACTTTCCCAAGGTCACCAGTGACATTCTGGGTGTGGAATGCTGCAGTCACTCATTTTCAGAGACGATATTTCCAACATGTGGGAGATTTTAATAACTCTTTATCTTTGTATCGCTATTTAATATGAAAATCATCTCCTAGGGAGTAGCAACTTTTAAGGGAAGTGCTCCTTTTTTGTTATTCTGCTTTGTAAGGCTTCTTTGCTGCTTAAAACACAATTATTCCATCAGGAAAGAGGCTTGAGATTCTTTCCAGTGTTAACTTGATTTGCCCTAACTGAGCTGCTCTCCACATGCTGAGGCCTCGGAGGTGTCGGTGGAATCTCAGGGCGAGACTGTGGGCGCTGTCTTCCACGGGACACAGCAGAAACGGCTCCCGCGCCTCACACAGGCAGGGAAACCCAGCGGGAACCTGTGTCGGGTGTGGAGCAGATTCCGCCCCTTTGTGAAGGAGACAGGAGCCACTGCTAATTGGTGCCAGGCTTGAAGAATACCGTATTAAAATTCCCATTTGAAAATCACACATATATCACCTTTGATAAGTTCACGTTCATCCTAATGGAAAGATGAAATGTCGCCAGCAGGCAAGGCCAGTGAAGTGGATGAATCTGTGACAATATTAAAGATAAGATGCAAAGTCCTCAATGTATTTCCACTGGATGGATCGAGACTGGGGCCTTCTCACGTGTGCTAAGCACGTCTTTTGAGAAATATCATTGCATTGCTTTCTCTTGTTTCAGTTAGCATAGAGGGTAGTGAGAGAGCTCTAGAGGGCTTCTATTTGAAAAAACACAAGAGAACTTTATATATAAGTTCTTTCCGTGCATCTTAAAGTGTATCATATTAAAACACGTATGCTTGATTAAAACATACATGCGCAATTACTAACGAAAACGCATCTTTAAAGCACACATCTTGCCTTATACAGGTTCATAGTCCGGCATGACGTGGCTCCACCTTCTTCTCAAAGCCCACTCAGTCTGTGCACTCCCTGTGGCTGGTTTCTTTATCCCTGAGAATCCTTGCACCACAGCAGCTCTACTGAAAGTCCCAATATTCCCATGTTGTCTCCAGGGACATTTGCTCCTGCAACCCCATGACCTAAGAGCACACAGCATACTCAGACAGGAAATGTATCCAGGGCTGACAGAGGCTCCTCCAGAGAGGATTATCACCACAGTGAAATAAGCACAAAGCAAACTCAAAATGCAAACGGTGGGGTATGTTTCTCTGAAAAATAAACAGCCTCAAATCCTGCGTGCTTACACTGAGGTGAAGGAGCTCTTTCTTGGTCATGCTGTTGGGTGTTTATTTCCTAGTTTACACGGAAGTGAGGCCACAATGCACACAGCAGACAAGAGCAGGGGAGAGTTTGTGGGGAGAACTGGGATTGGGTTATTTGGAAACAAGAGAGATTTGTCCCTGGTAATGGGGAAAAGGGAACAGGACAGAGGGCTGCTGCGCCCAGCCCCGGTATGGAAAAGTTCTGAGCCTCGGGCTCATCAGAGCCCCAGGCCTCCGATGTCTGTGCCGCTTTCTCCCCCTCACCTCACTTAGGGTCGCCTTCTGCCATGTCCCCTGCTCAGCTGGCTGGGACAACAAGCACCCCATCTGCCACCCCCCGCCATGCCGTCCCCAAGGAAAGGCCCAATGGAGGGTTTCAGTGAAAACTCTCAAAAAGCAATCCTTGAGAAAAAAACAAGAAAGGATTAATAAGAAAACGTGAAAATACAAGGCACACTGTCCTGGGCTGGGATCCAGCACTTGTTCTGTCTGGGGTGGACAAGCAGAGGTGGACCATGTTGTTACCGGGAGCTCTGCAGAGGACCTCGAGGGACTGGCTCTTAAAATGGGCAGGTCATCTCTGGGTTCCCCCCGAGAATCACCGTCCTGCAGCCGGCTGCCCGTGATGACAGGCCCCCCGTCACACGGCTAACTTCAGGCCGTCTGCATCTCTAGTCCTCGAGCCTCCTTCACCAGTGCCTGTGTGTGAGTCCAGATCCTGAGCAGTAACTGAGTGAGAGCTGGAAATACCAGCTGAAGCAGAGCACAGCCAGGCGCGCACAGCCTCCTGCACCACCCGGTGCCCTCCCATTTCTCTCTCCCTGTGTAGCAGGCAAAACACAGCGGAAGAAAAAGAGCACGGGCTGGTGGCACGGAGTGGACTGAGCTGTCCTCTGGCTCCTGGCCTCTCGCTCCGTGGACGGTGTTACTGTTTTATGCTGCCTCTCCTCTGTCTCGTCTCTCAGGAATTTCATACCTGACACCGACAGGTCAGTCAGACCTTTAACTAGCTTGCTCATTCATATCCTAGTGACTAACAGGACTGGGCATATATTCTGACTTTCCCACTTGGTTTTTAATTTGCTTTTTGACTTATCCTCTGCAGCCCAGGGAACAGAACACAGGGCCTCCTGCATGCGAGGCAATAGCTCCACCACCAAGCTCCACATCCATTCCATCTGTAAATCTAATTTTGAGGCAAGACCTTGCTAAATTGCCCACATTGGCCTCGGATTTGTGATCCTCCTGCTTCCTAAATTGCTGGGCACACAGTGATGCATCACCATATCTGATGTTTACTTAGCTTTTGTATGGATGTACTTTAGATAAATTATTGATAACATTGTTTTCAAGACTAAACTCAAATAAAATGAGCATGATACCAAGAAGTAGAAAAATAAGTATAATTATTTAATAATATATACTTCCATTCTGGTCATCTTTATACCTGGCGTTAGGCCTTATAACTACCAGGATGGGTTTCAGATCATTTATAGAGGAAAATATGTGAAGAACTCAGATTTCCTCAAATATTTGCTTCAATTCCTGGGTGGTATTTGGTCTCTGAAAAAATCCCACGGAAAGAATACACACCTCCTTTTTAGGGGCTTGAATTTAGGTGTAAAATGCTATTGTTAACTAATTATTGCAGGAAATGGTGGCAGGTGATTTTGAGGTTTCTTGACTAGAGAAACTTTGATTCCTAGAGGAAGAGTGGCCATTCCTTTGGGAGGCTACGGGAAGGCAGATGCTTCCTAGGGAACTCACAGGCCCGCAGATGTGAAGGGTCTCTGGGCGGCTGATTTGAAAGAGGAATATCCTCCCTCCCGGAATTCTGTCCTAGTGTTTTCCAGTTGCCCTAGACTCGAAGTCTGCGCTTACAGAAGATGGAAAGTTTACCAGACAGCCACCCTGGACGTTAGAGCCGGGGAGCTGCTGAGCCTTCCCCTGGGCTCTCTTTCCTTGCTCCGTATAAAGGAAACAAGGCCCTTTGCTGTCTTCTGGAGTCCAAACATAAATGCTATGATACCTGTGGGTCGTGCTGATCCTTTTACGAATGTTACTTTGCAATACTCTCTGCTTTTTAATTAATTTTATTGGTACCTTCTAGATACACGTA